TTTTAAAAAGAGATTGGACAGCCATTTGATATGATACAGGTAGTCCTGGACTTACAACAGGTCATTTAGTGACCTTCAAAGTTACAATGGCACTGACAAAAGTGACTTATGACCATTTTTCACACTTACAACCATTACAGCATCCCCATGGTCACATAATCAAAATTCAGATGCTCGTCAGCTGATTCATATTTATGATGGTCACAGTGACCAGGGGTCATGTGGCCACCTTTTGTGACCATCTGACAAGCAGACTCAATGGGGAATCCAGATTCACTTAACAACTGCAGCAATTCACTTAACAACCCTGGCAGGAAAGGTCGTAAAAGAGGGCAAAACTCGCTTAACAAATGTCTCACTTAGCCACAGACATTTTTGGCTCAATTGTGGTCATAAGTTGAGGACTATCTATAGTGGAGTCACATGCCTTAAGTAAATGTGATTCCTTAGTACATTCCATTAAATTCAACCCCCAGCATATAAGAATCCAATAGCAGAGAAGAGTAGAGTCTTGTGCATAGGGCAAAGTTTTGTACCTGTATGAAAGAGTAACCAGTCACGTATTTAGCCCACCATCTTCTATCAAAACCCAACACAGTAAACATTGGTATCAAAAAGCAGCCTTGCTCAAATTTGTGCCTTCCAAGTATGGTTAGACGAAAGGTCTCTTCAAGCTGCTTTGGGTTGTAATTGAATATAATTTTGTTTGGCTATCATGTTGGGGGGGGGGGTCTGTAGAGAAAGGTTTGTCACATCATAATATAGTTTTACTACTCATGTACCTGTTTGAGGACTATTAAAATTAGGGAGCTGAGAGTTAAATTATATGCGATTCAAGCTTCAGCCAGGGGGACATTCTCCTGTTTTCAAAGAGGGAACAAGGCAGTGATGATTGCCCGGGGGGGGGAGGCATTGCGGGAGGAGTACATCACAGCCTTTTACATAAGCTAGACAAAATGAAAACAAAGTTTGCTTTGGCTCTCTTTACCAGTCTTCAATTCCTTGTGAGTTGTTATGGGACTCTGGGATTGTTCAGCAATGTCAGGAACAAAAGATCTTAGAAAGGAAGAGCAGCCGTGCTTTCTGACCTTGAAAATTCATCTTCCCCCCCCCCTTTCCTTTGCCTCTCCTTTCTGTCCTTCTAAATCAGTGGTTCTCAACCTTTCTAATGCCGCAACCCCATAATACAGTTCCCCATGTTGTGGTCACCCCCAACCACTTATACATCACTGGGTGCCAGGGGCGTGGCCAAAAAAGGGGGAAAAATGGCAGACAGCCTTGTTTGGCGACCCCTGTGAAATGGTCGTTCGACCCCAAATGGGGTCCCGACCCACAGGTTGAGAACCACTGTTCTAAATGGATTTGAGCTGATTGGAAGGGGACTGTGGAGAAGATGATAGATAGATAGATAGATAGATAGATAGATAGATAGATAGATAGATAGATAGATAGATAGATAGATAGGATAGGGAAAGAGAGCTTAGATGAGAGAAAAAAGAGGGAGAGAGATAATAGATAGGGAGAGCAAAAGAGAAAGATGATAGACAGATGATAGATAGATAGATAGATAGATAGATAGATAGATAGATAGATAGATAGATAGATAGATAGATAGATAGATGATTAGAGAGAGATGATAGGGAGATGATAGGAAGAGAGAGACAGAGAGAGATGAGATGATAGAGAGATAGATAATAGAGAGAGAGATGAGAGAGAAACAGAGAGAAATATAGAAATTATAGAAATATATTTCAGATAAAAATTGAGGATGCTAATGACAGTCTTTTATGTAGCAAATTTTTGTATTTCAGAGGATCAAGGAACAAGTAACAAAAGAGATCTCAAGTGTTTTCAGAGAGCTTGAGTAAAACTTAACTAAACAGGGAAAGCCAGCATTTGCTCGCTGTTTGCCAACATATAGCCCCTTCAACAGCATAAAGACCCATGGAAATAAAGTATCTTTAAATATTTAATGGTCTATAAATTACTTGAATCAATAATAGAATAAATGGCATCCCTTATATATCGCCAGAAGCTTTTAGGTTTTTCTAAAAAAAAAAATATTCTGGACATTCTGTGCACACATGTTTATTTTTCAATGGTGTTTGACTTTTTGAACACTGCTTGCTTTATTAGACGTTTATTATACAACTTTCAAAGTTAAGGGGCAAAACTTAAAACATTAATATTAAACAAATGCATATTGTACTCAGTCATTGGTGGCTTCCCAAGTAAAACTTATGAAAGTTCTGAAATGTTTATTTATTGACTTATTAGATCTGTTTGGAGGCCACAACTTCAAAGACTCTTAATGCCTTGAATTCATAAAAGCAATAAAGCCAGCCCATAAAATGGCACAAATAAACCACCAATCAACATTCACAAATATGGCAAGGCCAATGGCTGGACAGAAAAAAAAGTTATCCTGATGACCTTCCTAAATATCAGCGGAGGAGGGGAGGGAAACTGGGGTCTTCCTGGAAAGGCACTCCAACTTTTGACTAGGGGTATTTGATCAGTATGGATTAGATCAGTGGTTCTCAACCTTTTTAATGCCACGACCCCCAACCGATCATAAGTCGAGGACTAAACCGGTCGTAAGTCGAGGACTAAACTGGTCGTAAGTCGAGGACTACCCAACCGGTTGTAAGTCAAGGACTTTCCCTGCCCAGGAGCGCCACTCATGCGTGGTGCCGCCCCCTGCCCCGGCCGAGGCGTAGCTGGCAAGCAGCAGAGACGGAGCAGGCCGACCACCGGCTGGGCCACCAGCTGGCCCAGCCCAAGGGAGGTAAGGCACCTGCCGGAAAAGGGGAAAAAATGGTGGACAGCCTTGCTTGGCAACCCCCGTGAAATGGTCGATGGACCCCAAATGGGGTCGCGACCATAGGTTGAGAACCGCTGGATTAGATGGTCAGGTTCTCCTGGAAGCAAATAGTCCTGGAGGTAAACAGGAGCTGGCCTTCTAATGCAGGGGTGCCCAACCTTGGCAACTTTAAGACTTGTGGATTTCAACTCCCAGGATTCCCCAGCCAGCCAGTCCAGTTCTGGGAACTGAAGTCCAAAAGTTTTAAAGTTCCCACTGTTGGACACCCCTTTATTACAGGGATCAGAAGCCAATTGTTCTTTGCCTTTTTTCTGTTTTTAAAGGTTCTTAAAGCTCCAAAATGGTCCTTAATTGATTACAAGTTCCTAAACTGAACCAGACCAAGGCAATCTTAATCTTAAAATGGTGCAGGCTGCCCATCTTTTATAAGGTGGTACAGTACCTAGAAGTGGCTGGCATTACATTCCTCCCTATTTAAATTCAGCGGAATGACAGAAAGTAACTTTTTGTTATTGTTGTCGTTCTCTTTTATTGTGAACTTGGCACTAGTTAAAAGGCTCCTTAATTGTGCCTGCTGTTGAGCTTTTCATGGTTTTACATCTAAAATGAGCTCTTCGGCTGAAGAGAGGAGCAGCTTATTTTCCCTTAAAACTTTTTACTTGCAACTTCATGTATTAGATGGAGGGGGGGTGTCTTACAAATTCCCTGTTCAGCAAAAAGATTGACAGCTCTACCCCCCCAAAACTGCATTCGGCAAACAATGATCAGAGAAGCTGAAAGTTCCCTTTAATCAGAATTCACCGTAATTCGCCCTAATGTAGAGGCTGATAGATTTTTCAGGCATAATGTAATTCCTAATGAAGTAAAGTTTAGTTTAGTTTTGTTAAGGGAGCTTTTGACACCGCTGGGTATTGCAAGCCATTTCTTCTCCTTGTAAGGGTTAGATCAGGGGTCTTCAAACTTGGCCCTTTTGTGACTTGTGGTCTTCAACTCCCAGAATTCCTCAACCGGGCAGGCAGGCTGAGGAATTCTGGGAGTTGAAGTCCACAAGTCATAAAAGGGCCACGTTTGAAGACCCCTGGGTTAGACGGAGGAGCAGAGCAGAAGAAGTACAGTAAATAGGTTTCAGTAGATTCTTTGTCCAGCAGAGTTGAAATCTCCTTTTGGGCTCCCCTAACACTTTAAAAAAATGTTCCTATTCCCAAGCTGTTACTGAATTTTCTAGCACAACCTATTAACAGCTTCTGCTGAAATGAAACCCAGTGTCTTGCAGAATTGATTAAGTGTGAAGTGTGATCAGTCCATTCTGGAAGAGAGTTGAAGCACCATATTCTGGCAGGTACCGGCTTCTGTTTGCCCTTCACAAGAACAGACAGAAGCCTGTATCTTGTGTGATGAAAACAAGTGAATGTGTATTTTTGAAGAAATGGGGGAAATGAGACAGAAGCACTTTACTATTTTATAAGAAACCCAAGGGGCAGTGCTTTTTTTGTTTTAAAAAAAAATGTACTAGAACTCACACGTCATACAATTCACCTTGCCTACCCTACAAGGTTCCATCCAAAAAAGGTGCCAGAACTCTGTTCTGGGCATTCTATGACAAAAAAAAAAGCCCTGCCAAGGAGTGTTTGGTAATGCTACAAAATCAGCTCTAGGGAACGCTACTTCCTTTCCCTGCCCCCCACAACTACAAAATGGTGCTAGTAATTATACAACTTGCCTTAACAACTGACTATAGCAATTGATAGAGTTCTCTTAAAAATTGAGATAGAAAATGCATACCTGACGTGTTAACCATGAAAATCGGTTGACCGTAGTTCTCTTCTACCAAAAGAGCGCCTGGGTTTTAAGAATTAAAATGTTCGGTTGAAGAGGCAGAACTGGCAGAAAAGCCATACTGGAGTCAGCACTGGGGAATCTGCAACTCTTCTGATGCTGCTTAACTACACTAGAACAGCTCCAGAGACATGTAGTTCCACAACATCAGAAGACCCACAGGTTTTCTGTCTTTGATTTCAGTGCATCTCTCAATATTGGGCCAGAGGTCAGGTTTACTTTAGTTGCAAATAACGTTCACTGAAAATGAACATGACCTTCTTCCAGTTTTCTTAACTAATAGCTATTTCTCTCTCCCCCCTCTCCCTCTCTTTGTCTCTCTTCCTTCTCTCCTTGGCAGGCCTGTGACGGAGGATTAGACAACATTAGTGGAGTCATGCTTCACACAGCCGTATCTTGCTGGCAGCCATTTCTAAGTCTGGCTGTGCTGCTACTTTTCATAGGATCCACCCTAGGTTGCCCAGCTCGTTGTGAATGCTCAGCACAGAATAAGTCTGTCAGTTGTCATCGGAGGCGCCTGATTGCCATCCCGGAGGGCATCCCCATAGAGACTAAAATCTTGGATCTTAGCAAGAACAGGCTAAAAAACGTCAATCCGGAGGAGTTCACAGCTTTCCCTTTGCTTGAAGAGATAGATCTCAGCGACAACATCGTGGCCAATGTTGAGCCTGGGGCCTTTAACAGCCTGTTTAATTTGCGCTCTTTGCGACTGAAAGGGAATCGTCTAAAGCTGGTCCCTTTAGGGGTCTTCACTGGCTTGTCAAACTTAACAAAGCTGGATATTAGTGAGAACAAGATTGTCATCCTGCTGGATTACATGTTCCAGGATCTGCACAACCTCAAATCCCTTGAGGTTGGGGATAATGATCTGGTTTACATCTCCCACCGGGCCTTTAATGGATTGCTTAGTCTGGAGCACCTCACTCTGGAAAAATGCAACCTAACAGCTGTACCAACAGAGGCCCTTTCCTACCTTCACAACCTCATCAGCCTGCACCTGAGACATCTCAATATCAACCTGTTGCCTGCATATGCCTTTAAGAGATTGTTCCACCTGAAAAACCTAGAAATAGATTATTGGCCTATGCTTGACACAATCCCTCCCAACAGTCTTTATGGCCTGAACCTCACTTCTCTCTCCATTACCAATACCAATTTGTCCACCATCCCTTATTCTGCTCTGAAGCATCTGGTTTACCTGACCCACCTGAATCTTTCCTACAATCCCATAAGCACAATCGAATCGGGCATGCTTGCAGATGTGCTGCGCCTGCAAGAGTTGCACATAGTGGGGGCCCAGCTGCACACCGTTGAACCTCATGCTTTCCAAGGCCTTCGATTCCTCCGCGTGTTGAACGTGTCCCAAAACCTATTGGAAACTCTGGAGGAGAATGTGTTCCATTCCGTCAAATCCCTGGAAGTTCTCTGTATAAGCAACAATCCCCTGGCTTGTGACTGCCGCTTGCTCTGGATCTTACAAAGGCAGCCCATGCTGCAGTTTGGTGGCCAGCAACCAATGTGTGCCGGCCCAGACAGTGTCAAAGAGAGGCCATTTAAAGACTTCCATAGCACGGCCCTTTCTTTCTACTTCACTTGCAAGAAGCCCAGGATCTATGAAAAGAAGCTGCAGTACTTGGTGGTTGAAGAAGGGCAGACAGTGCAGTTCTTGTGTCATGCAGAAGGAGATCCCCAGCCAACTATTGCCTGGTTGACACCGCGACGGAGACTGGTCACCGCAAAATCCAGCGGGAGAGCAACAGTGCTTGGAGATGGTACACTTGAGATCCGGTTTGCTCAAGATCAAGATAGTGGGGTTTATGTTTGTGTGGCCAGCAATGCTGCTGGGAATGACACCTCCTCAGCCACCCTCACCGTCAAGGGGTTTGCCTCAGATCGTTTTCTTTACGCCAACAGGACTCCTATGTACATGACAGATTCCAATGACACCAGTTCCAATGGAACCAATGTGAATACATTTGCTCTGGACCTTAAGACAATACTGGTGTCGACGGCCATGGGCTGTTTCACATTCCTTGGGGTTGTTTTATTTTGTTTCTTACTACTTTTTGTGTGGAGCCGTGGGAAAGGCAAGCATAAAACCAGCATCGACCTTGAGTACGTCCCCCGTAAAAACAATGGCGCAGTGGTGGAAGGGGAGGTTTCAGGACCACGCAGGTTCAATATGAAAATGATTTGATGGTTGTGCTCTAGCATTATTAATTTTGCCCTTTTCCTTCTTCTGTGGCATTTGAACCAATTTTCAACACACTTGGCAAAATAAGGAGGCCAGGCTGGAGGCGGCTCCACTTGGCTGCCACCGTGTCAAGCGGTAGATGGAAATCAAAAAGACTGTCTGAGATTGTACAGCAGAGCCTCGTGTTTTGAGGCGGCGTGAGTGAGTGAGAGGGCTTTTTCCTTTTTTTTCTTTTTCTTTTTTTGCAGAGTTTGGCAAACAGCACTAATTGTTTGCATTGCAAATTTTATGGCATTCTGGGGATTTCAGTAACAAACGGTCAGCTCATGGATACTTGTTGGAAACGTTTTTACCACTACAAAGCAAACAAAAAAAAAACCTCCTACTACAGTATAGGATTTCATGTTTTAAATGTGAGAAAGAGAAAGAGAGAGAGACATTTGTTTACAATCTACTCTGCAGTAAAATTTGTATCTATAGCTCATTTGCTAAATCCTTGCATCCTTACTTTCTAGTTGGTTCAAGGCCGCAAAAATTAATGCATTGCTGTAATATCTGTATGTGTGTATGTATGTATTACAGTAATACATACATAGTTTAAAGCAATACAGATGAGAGATTTTGTTCCATCCACAGTGACTGACCCAGGTGTGATATCCCTCTTCCCAAATTTCTAGTCAAATTTTAAAATTGGACTTCTGAAACAGTTAGAGACGATGGTGTCTTGAGATTTGAATTTACATCCAAGACGCGAAGGAAATCCTCAAAGCAGGCAGAATTTGTGTTGATTCTCTTCATAGAAAGAAAAGGCACAGGCTTAATTTTAATACAAAATGGATTTTAAAAACATATATGTGGGATCAGACTAGAACAGTTTACTGTAAAAAGGTGGAGGTCTAACCTTGTCCGCTTTTGGAGACATAAAATCGGGCGGATCACACACAAAGGACAGTCTCTTTTATTTTTATCCTGCCCTGCCAAATACACCTCCATCCCCCACCATCGCCACATCTGTTTCAATTTCTGGCCTATCATTTAGAAAATGTGAACCTGTCCTAGGAAAATGAAACTAGGGCACCACATTCTGCCACTTGCTTAGGAAAAAGCTATCAGTGTTGCATTTAGGGAAACAATTTAAAAAAAACAAAAAGACGTACAAAAGATTTGGGGGATAGAAGTAGATCCTCCCCGATGCCAAACAATTAAATTTGGTGCAAGAAGAGGCGATGCCACTCACCCGTATTGGTTTTCCTTCAGGCCACATTATTGCCAAACTGAGAGCCCCTGTCAGTTTTGTATTTATTGCTGGTGGAGGCTGAGCAACAGAGTTCTCCTGCTGTGTCTTCTTCATGCAAAGATGCCTTGGCTACATGAACCAGTAAGAAAACCCAGAGAGATACCATTTGTGTTTTCAATATAGTGAGAAAGCAAAGAATTGAGAGCAGGGAAGCAAGTCTCTTTTGGGTTATGTAAAACACAACCCTATGAATTTTAAGAGCATTTTGCTTTTTCACTTAATTCCTCGCAACACATATAGGAGAATCCTATGGCCAGTATGACTAAGCACCTGCTAAGGAAAGTGATGCATGCCTTTGGCATCAGTGCAGAGGTAGGGAAGCATTTGCCTTCAAGATATTGGGATATCTCCCACAATTTCTTGCAGGGAACACACTAATTAGAATTGATGGAAGGCAGCCCAAAGACAGAAAGAACAAAGTTGCCCGTCCAGTTATAAACTCCATTCAGTGGAGTATAATGGGAATATAGAATGGGTTCATTTGTGTGTGTGTGTGTATGTGTGTATGTGTGTATAGAGAGGGGGGGGGGAGAGAGAAACAATTTTCCCAAGGAACAAACATCTTTGCTGTTTGATATTGATGAAGAACATGGTTGCCATTGCTGAAAAGAATTGTTGAAGAACATGGTTGCCATTGCTGAAGAGAAGAAACGTTCAGGGTAAGCTGGTGGTTGAGAAATTAGACTATGCAGAAGGGGCCGTGTCCTCAGTGCCACTAAACATTCCTTCGGGAAACTGCCACGTGTGGTACAGGTTTGTGATATTTTCTCTTCCCTGCCACAAGTTCAAAGGCAAACAAGCAAAGAAAAAAAAAACTACTGTGTGAACTAGCTTTAGAAAGGCAAAGGCTTAATCCCTTGAATTTGTAGTAATTATTGTTAGAAAGTCATCATTCTTTGATTGTTCATGTTGCCAGTTGCCAATTGCCTACTTACCTTTACTTGCCTTTTCTCCCAATGTGGAAGTCCACATGGGTAGGAATGGATTGGAATAATATGTACGAGGGAAACTTTCTTGAGCTGTTTATTTTTATTCATGTGTTAGCTGATTATTTTTATTTATGTGTTTTCCCTCTCAAGATAATAAAGAAGCACTATGGGTTAATACTGGTATGACAATATGGAGGTGTCATGTTCTGTTGCTTGTTGAACCCCAACTCCCTGAATTCCTACAATCGCTATAATAATTTGGGGATTCTGGGAGTTGTGGTCCCAACAGGTTTATGACACATTGGTTAGAGAAGGCTACTCTCATACATTCATATCTTTCAAGTCTTTATTCCAGCCTTTATTCCAATGTTAAAATATTTAATATTTAAAATATTAAGCTTCTGTGGTGAACTACAGCAAACGAGAAGCAGATGAGATTTTTAAAAGCCATGAGTAGGATTTAAAACACATCTATAAAAGATATGTATCCAAATGTTAGCTCTGATCTTTCCAGGAATGTAAATAATATATTGCCTACAGTTGAGATTCTGAAACAATTGCAGTGCATTTCCACTCAATTTCATATGTGGTTTTTTTTTTAATTCATTGGATTTAGAATGTAATAAAATGAAATTATAGGTGTGCTGTTTGTTTTCATACCAGTTTAGCTGGACAATTGGTTACCTTATCAGTGGAAGACAAATTCAGCAATGCTTGATGTCTATTTTCAGATCAGTAAATAGATCTTTGCTGTCATGATAAGTGTTACATCTGATACATTTACCTTTGCAGAAGTACTAGCATATCTTTCCCAGAAGATTAATAATTACTTTCAGAGATAGCCAGAGTGTCCTGTTATATTATACCTTTTGGTTGACAGGGTTTTAAATTATGGTGTGCCGTAGGAACAGCTTGAATGCGGACGTAATAATACCATTGACCCATTTGATATGGCCATCTAATCACACAGGAAGTAACCATGGTGATTATAAGTATATTACCTAAATACTTCAAATCCTGCCATTAAACACTCTTGCAGCTCACCATCTAGCTCTTAGAATTGCAGGTTTAGCCCCAATTTCATTGTTAATCTACAGCAGATCACTCAGCTGAGAGCGAGATAGAAAAAGTATAAAACGGTCACTTGTTTCTCTATCCAAAACACTTGTTTCCCCCCCCCCCCACCGAACTTGGCAGCTTTAAAAGTGTGGACTTCAACTCCCAAAATTCCACAGCCAGCAGGTTGGCTGAGGAATTCTGGAAGTTGAAGCCCATTCATCTTAAAGTTGCCAAGTTTGAGAAAGATTGATCTAAAACAGGGGTTCTCAACCTTGGCAACTTTAAGACTTGTGGATTTCAACTCCCAGGAATTCTGGGAGTTGAAGTCCACAAGTCTTAAAGTTGCCAAGGTTGAGAACCCCTGATCTAAAAGATTTACAGCAGTGCAGAATGAATGAGGACATCTTAAAACAGTTCCACTAAAGTCAAGGAGTATTTCCAAAGACAGCAAATTATTTTGGCACATACAGCAGAAAAACCAGAGAACCATCTACTTAACTGTGTCCAAAGTAACTAACTAACTTTGGCTGCCTAAGTCACCTGCTACATTCTGTCTCATAGCAACGCCAGAAATTCAAGTTGCTGGGTGGATGAGCATTTACTGATCTCTGCGCAACCTTGGACATTACAGAATTGCAAAAAAAGAAAAGAAAAGAGGATAATTATATATCTCACACTTTATATTGCTGTGCTCCTTCTGTGAGGTCCGAAATGGAACATGCATTTCTGAACTCCGCAGCGTAAGGCAATATCAGCATATGCCTACAAGGAAATATACAAGAAGTTGGCAATAAAATTAAATCCAAAACTCTTGAGATACAAATATTAGCATTTCCCTCCTATTTTCCCAGAAAAATCTGCAACTGCTTTTGGTATTGCTCTACCAGGGCTTAGCTTTTCAATGAAGTCCCATTCAGAAACAAATGATTAATGGAACAGAACAGTCACAATCCCGGATTACTTCAAAGCCTGATGAGCTTTAATAGGCTGTATTCATCCCAATATCAATAACATCAGAAAAGAAAGTAGAGGATTCTGGAAGCTTACTTACTTTTTCTCCCTAGTAGCTATATCTGTCTAGTCTTTATAAAGACTGTGGAATTTCATTAACCCCCAAAGCAGATCAGATATGGCTTTCAAGAACGATATGAATTGTGTAAATCTATTCTACTTTCATATATATGAGAGAAATAAACAAAAGAGAGAGGAAATAGGATTGAACAGCCCATTGAAGACATTTGCATTGATTTCTTCCTTGAAATTATCATTATCTCTTACCAGTTGAATTATGAATAGTTCTTTTTTTAATGACAGTTTTTCTATTGCTAGCATAACCCTTTTAAGCAGAGGGAGTTTATTTCTGATGAAATTATTGTCAAGGCAAACTTAACTCCAAATATGTTTCTCTTCGCTTTTTAATGACAAATTCACATGGGTTCATAGCCTGTTAGGATTCTGTCAATAATAATCAGTTTTGCATATATGGTAATTGCTAAACCAGACAAGATGAAGCTTATGTGGCATGAGAATTTCTGCTGCAACTTAGAACAGGGGTTAAAACATATTACAATGATGGTTGAAATATCGGAAATTGTTTCCAGTTTATTTTTGTAAACCTCCTTGAGAAATAAGAAAGTGGGCCTATTTCCAAGCTTTGTTTTTTCCCCTTCTTTCCCAAAAATCTGTTCCTGTATTGTGTATTTTCTGTTGATTCAAGAAATGTTCAGTTTAGTCAAGAAACAACACCCATGTGTTTGTTTTTGAAAGCAAGTTATAAAATACATCTTTGAACAATTGTTTGCTTTATTTTGTGATACATGTTAATCTAAACAGTTGAGTTTTGTTCTTTATAGACCAGCCAATGCACCAGAGCAGCTGACCATCTGAAATAGAGTAAATAGGTAATAGATAAAGGTATATATACACAAACACACACATGCATCAGCACACACAAAGGCACACAACCTCACATATGCATTTGTAGTACTGTCTCACGCACAATACCCTGTTCTCTTCTTGATCTCTTCCCTTGCGGAGATGGTGTTAGAGCAGTGGTTCTCAACCTTTTTAATGCTGCGACCCCCCAACCGGTCGTAAGTCGAGGACTACTCAACCAGTCGTAAGTCGAGGACTACTCAACTGGTGCAGCACTGTTTGCAGAATGGGACTTTTGGCGGGCTTAGCAGGGCAGAGACAGCCTGGACAATTCCTATTGGCTTTTGAAAGCCAATAGAATTAGACTCTATTCAAGAGAGTCTATTCTATTGGCTTTCAAAAGCCAATAGAATAAAAGGGAGTAGCACAGCTAAGGAAAAGGGGGGGAAATGGCAGACTGTGTTGTTTGGCGACCCCCGTGAAATGGTCGTTTGACCCCAAATGGGGTCCCGACCCACAGGTTGAGAACCACTGTGTTAGAGCATTCAGTGTTAAAATTCTCAGTCTGGAAAATCTGGTTTCAGTGGCAGATTGCAAAATGAGGAGGTGAAGAGAGGTGAAAAATGGATAAGGGATAAACAACGCAGGAGAAAAAGAGAGACTTTCACCTAGAAATCCTAAACTTTCTGCTCTCTTCTTTCGTTTTTCAGAATAGAATGCATTTTTTGTTGTTGCTATTAAAATACAAAGTTATCAGTATCAAACTCTCTTCCTTCCAAATGAGATTGGCAATGAGAGGAGGCTAAAAGATAATGAGAAGAATTGGGAAGAATAGGCAAGATTTAGAGGAAGGCAATGCAGAAAGGTGGGAAAATTTAGGAGAGAAAGAAAGGCAAATTAGAAAGACAGTCACAGAAGGCCTGAGTGGCAGGCTACTGGACTAATATAACCCTTTTGAAGGGACACTTTTTGTGTTCCTTCAAAGACCCTGACAGATCAGATGATAGCAATAGCACTAGCAATAGCACTTAGATTTATATACACTTCATAGTGCTTTACAGTCTTCTGTAAGCGGTTTACAGAGTCAGCATATTGCCCCCAACAATTTGGGTCCTCGTTTTACCAACCTCGGAAGGATGGAAGAAGCCGGTCAGGATCGAACTGGTGGCAGAATTAGCCTGCAATACTGCATTCTAACCACTGCGCCACCACAGTTCTATATCATGACTGAGGGTTTGGAAAATAAGGATTAAATTATTGGTTTTTTAATTTCTAGATGATCTATTCCTAATTTGATCCTTCCACTCTTTGAAAGGTGCACTCATCCATTACTATTGAGTCTACCTACCTTAATGCTGTTCTTCTGCTCCAAGAAATTTAATCTCTTTGGAGGAAGCCTAATTCATTTTCGGATATGCTTCCTCAGGAAGGAAGCCTGACTTGGAGGGTCATGGTAAACAATCTGACCATTTCTTTTCCCAGCCTTACATTATACATTTGAATGAATTCCTGACACGTCTGACTTGCCTTTACCATTCCCAGATATAAACATATAGGTAGACGTATCTCACTATAATCATTCACACTTTCACTGTGGCCATTTAATACTTTTGTGAACCTAAAGCTTGCAAAATATGTCAATCAATCATTATTTCACCCTAGCAGCCTCCAGGCTGACTGGTAGCCAAGTGTCTTTTGCCATAGCCTGAATTAGGCTGAGAAACATGTCCCCAGTTAAAATAAAAATAACTCACTACCCCACATGCCTTCATAACTGTCCATGTATTTGTCTCCATTTATCTGATGGAAACATACTGAGTGATTGTAACCCATGATGCCATGCCAGCATCTCAAAGACTTTGGAGCAATTGCAGACTTGATGATATTATGCAAAACCTGAATTATAGAAACCCTTCTAAGCATTTATAGAGCAGCTACAGA